ATACGTCGAGATTTCGAACGTGGCGATGTGTAATATCGGAGTTTGACGGAAACGTTTGTTAACTATGTTATAAAAACGAAATAATAATTTCGAGAACAATTCGCAATGCATTCTTTCGTTTTACGAATTACTGTTAATTTATTACTGTGTTCCACTTTCATGAGAAAGTATATTGTATTTTCCGAGAAATTCCGGCAAGCTATATTATCGGTTGAATGCGTCCAATATGCTTTTATACGTTATTACGTGTAACAAAACTGGTAATTATGTAACTAGTTACGCACTGATAAAATATGTACGCGAGTAAGAGAAAGATAATGACTAGTTTTCTTCTAGAAGAAGAAAGTTTTGTTTCTTGTTAAAGTTAGCTAATAAATATGAGATACGTTAGCCGATTTCAATATACACAATTACGTTTTATCAAAATTCATAAACTTCCTTCTTTTGTACCCGGTCTAATGCCTAAATTGCCAATTTAATTGCCATCATAAGTTCCATTGAATTCCGCGCGAAAATAATACTCCCAGATTTAACTTAATTATTTCGCTGCGCTATCAGTTAAGGTTTTATGAAGATTCTTTAATTAAATACGCCGGCAGTAAAACCAGCTACTCTCCATAATACGGAGTTTTAAGCGAAGCGTATATATCTCTACTCACTAAACAGATTATCTGGCCGTTAAATGTATAACGTTTTAATTATATACTGTTCCATAATATATAATCATTCGTTGAAATGACATGCAATTAATGCGCAAGGTGTGTACATTTCTATATGCAATTATGATATCGACTTGGCAAAAGGTTATTTTCTTCATACCAGGTATTAATTATAGATAATAAATATAATACGGCAATAAAACCTATATCGCTTGATATGAGAGCAAGATATTTAAAGTTGTTTTGGGATCAAAAGTGAAATAAATTATATGTGCAGATATATGCATTTTTTTAACAAAAATATATATGCAATTATTTTCATTACTTAAAATGACTTAAATGAAGCGCATTTCTTCGATTTATTGAGGAATTCTGATTAAAGTCGTCTCACGAATTTCAGCCAACATGACGAGACAAGTATTACGTATATTTCGTTCTAAGAAATGGCTGTAGCAGTTTCAGATACGGCCGGGTTATGTCAGACATTTTACTGTACTAGAAACTGCTTTGAACTGTTAATTATACGGAAGTAAAACTGTCATTTCTTATTGCACATTGTTTCCTTTTGAAACTAGCTAAATAGCCTAATAATAATCAAGAGTCACAGCATTTATCGTGAAAGCGTAATCGAAATTCGCAAGATTTCAAGATCGCCACCCTATGATGTAAACAACGACGAAGTTCTCAGACTCGGAAGTAATTTCGCATGATATTCCGACATTTGCAATTCCGACTGTTTGTCCCAACCGCAAGAATTCTATTATGCAGAGAAAGCGTTAAGCAATAGAAGAAAATTGTCGCAGAGCGAATATCTGCTATAAACATGCTTGCCATAAATAATGTTGCATTTTCGTAAAAATGATAGTTGATATCATGTGTATGTAAAATATATATTTTTGGAAAAATATTTCTTGTATGAGAGAATAATCAAATTACGTAAAAATACATTAACTTTGAATAATATAGTATTCGAATAATAATCTAATATAACGAAATATATAATATAACACATTTATCACAGATATTTATATAAAAACAATCGAATTAATAATTAATTAGTGATCTTCTAATAAAACTGTATTAAAAACGTCAATTATGTTTAAAGCTCTACACATACAGAAAAAAAGAAGTGTGTACATATATCAAATTGTTTCTGTTATATCAATTAAAATGTCTCTATCAAAATCAATAGTAGCAGAAAATAAAAAAATGTTAGGATGTCTTTATGTGATACTATACAGGCAAGATGTATCGAGTATCGTGAAGAATCTGCGTGCCTTCATGTGCAATGAGGAAGCGAGCAACGACGAATGTAGGGCACGCTCTGCACGGTGGTTTACCCGAAGCGATGTTTATGATTTCAGGCCGAAGTCTTGGTACACCTACTTAATTTCTTTTTTTTTTTTATGTGAAATCAAGTTTCTTACACTGGTCAGTGGCGCGGTCGGCGAAATCACGCATAACATTTCGATGTCGTAAATTGCGGTTACCTGACTGCCGCCGCGGTTGATATATCGATCACATAAAAAAAATCTATTGGCATACAGCGGCTTTCCATAGTGATCAATCAAATCGTTATCCGAGCTTGAAGCGAACATTCCGAAAGTGCAAGTGTTACTTTCGGTCACTAATTTCAGAGAATGCGCTACGCTACATAAAGCGCACCAACCACCACCCCGCAACTGGCTATATTTTCCTTATTCACAAAATTCAATTTTTCATTCATTTATTGTTGGTTTTAAATATCGATTTATATGAACAATTTATACATTTTTAATAAATTACACAGAAAAAAAGAAGCATTAAATCAAGACTTATATTCTTGTATAAGCAAGAATTTATAATCTTCTTATAAGAATTTCAACTTTTTATTTCAACTTTTTTTTTTTTTCATTAAACTATATAAGTACCTTCAAACAAGTTTTCTTCGCGTTTAATATCTTCAAAATTTATATCTTATTTTAAGATTATAGATTCTTGCTTATATACAAAAATATAAGTAAATAATTGATTTAACACTTCTGTTTTTTCTGTGTAGAAATAAGTGAAAATATTTTTTTATTGGATACATTAAAAGATAGCGTTTGACATAAGATATTCCCAGAAAAATGATTTAACATTGCTAGACGGATTTTTCTGGCAGAGTGCCCGGAGTTAGCTGGCTAGTAGTTATCACGACGTGCGATATAGAACGCAGCTCATTAAAATGTCATCATTTGCGTCGCGAGGGTCGATTTTCATGGAGAACGGAGAGATAATCGCACGTTCGCGGTGGACTGCACGTGAAAAGTGCAATCGAGGCGTGGAAGTCTCAAAGGCGGAGATTCAGCCGCGAGGAAGTGCGGGATTACTTCTCAGCCGTTGCCAGCGCATTTGCGTGCAAGCCGAGGTACCCTCGGTCTCTGTAATTTCGCGAAATAGGCCGCGCGGCCGCGCACACACGAGCGAGAGCGGAGCTGGATGGCATAGCGCGGGTGTGCGATAACAAAGAGGAATACAAGCAAGACTAGGAAGAGGCAAGACGTACATGGGGGACGTAACACGGGCTTGTGTTTCGCGGCCGAGGTTTCTCAGTACGTTGCGTACGTCGCGTTTCTCGGTACGTTGCCGTAATATCGTTTTATCGAATCTACCGTTACGTCGATCCGTTCCGCATCGATGGTATGAGCATCGCGTACGCACGACGCTCGCATAGCAACACCGGAAACTTCGCGATAAAGATGCACTAATGTATATATATATATATTATGCCGCTTGCCATAAATCCATTTCGCGAGATCTTAATAGGGATCTCTCGTTATAGGAACTGAGAGGAATTTAATGTGAAATGCATCGAATAACCGGTAAGACAGCAAATAAGCTCATACGCCACAGGTATCGGTATAAGCCGATTATCGCCGACGAATAAACGTGTTCAGAAACAAGACAATAGTAAATATTTGTCAAAGAACATTGCGGGGAGATTATCATTCATTGCACGATCTTCTGTGCTGCCTGCGAGCCCCGTCGAGGAACCTGTCTATTGACGTCGCCTTTATTTATTTTATGACAGAGGTATGAAAGCTAGGAGGAGAGTTCCTATAGGGTGACTTCAGATTGGTCATAAAATCTCAACGCACTGCCATGCGAAAAAGACGGAAATAAATCACTTAATTTTTCTTTTCTTTTCTCGCTTTAACAACAAGTCTCGCTTCAACAACAGCTTTACAAACATTCATTATGCAAATGTTGCCGATTCCACCTCATTTACAGGTGGAATAAGACATTTATCTGTACAGTTATAGAACAACAATTTTTTTTAAATGTCAATAATTATACGTCAATATATCAATCATACGTCTCGTAATCGATCATTATCAAGGATTACTTGCTTCTTTACGAAGACGGTTTACTACGTCCTACAAGACGCGCGATGCGTGGAATGTGCGAATTCGAACGCGCGATATAGTTACCAATTCATGCCATCTGATTCAAAGTGGCGAACGATGGAGGACGTTACGGCTATCTAACTGTAAATCTAACGCTTCGCGCCGACCTGTAGACCATGCGAATCAAGTGCATCCAGCTTGATGCACACGGATTTAAGCGCTCAACCCGACGCGGGGCTTGCGCCCGTCTCGCAGCTCGATACCGATTCCGACTCGTCAATACGCACCTCAGGTACTTGCCAGCGCCTGATTTGCATAACAAGTCGACCCATCGTTTACGGGGCTCAACTCTACTGCCGTGTCGATTGGTCGATATTTTAAGTGCGCGGAGCCGCAAACGCGCGGAGGGGAATGTTACACAGCCCATAAATAAAACATTATTATTTGTTAGTTACCTTCTTATACGGATAGGTCTAACGTGCATGTATATTCACTGACACGCACATTATTAATACAGTATAACATTTTCTAAATTAATTCCCATCGACAGCCTTCATTGGAAATTTACGCACTGTTCCTTTAATCTCTATACATTTATACATGTATGTATACGTTTGAAAACGGATATTACTCTGTAAATTGATTATACTCTTTAGATTTAAATAATTTAGCTCTTTACTGGAGTATACTCGGAAATAAATCGTGTTTTCTCCTTTTGCCGCTCTGTATATGCGTGAAAACTCGCAAATACGCAGTAAACTAATTTCCACTCTTTGAAGTTAAATTATTAATTTAGCTTTTTGTTGAATGGATATTCCTAAAATAGGTCACGTTCCGTTTTTTTTTACCATGTTCCGTGTGTATATGTGAGAACTTACGAATATAAAATTAAGCCGCTAACTGATTCGCGCTCTGTGAAATTAAATCTCGCACGAGAGTATCGGAAGCTCAATTATTCTGTTCTGATTCAAACCTTGGAGGTAGGCGACTGCAGGAATGTTGCGATGCCCGCTCGTACTCTGTTCTTCACACCGCGCACGGTCCCTTTGGCACTTCGTATGGCTTCCTTCTCGTGGATTTTGTAACCGGCGAAACACTCGTCGTTCTCGGCCACCCCGTGTTCGCCGTTCGAGTTCTTATTATTATCGCGCAGCTCGTTCACGTGGAAATTGTAGTACCTGTCGTCCTCGTACAGGTATTTGTGACCGGTCGATCGATTCCGAGCGGCATTGACCACCTCCTGCTCTATCCTCTCTTGTTCCCGTTGCTTCCTCTCCTCGTATGTGCACGCTTTAATTACCGGCGACTGGCCGTTTTGCTCGATCGCGGGATCGGGACTCCTCACCCGCGGCGTCGACGAGGCTTTCGACAGGGACGACGTTCCGGATGGCGACGGCGAGACGCTGGCCGACGACACCGGCGAGCGTGGCGCGCAACCGAGTTCCGTTATCGAGACCTGATGATGAACGCCGCCGCTCGGTTCCTCGATCGCTTCATTAACGCCGTTCGCCGTTAGCGTGATTCGACCTAATTTCTCAACTACGCCTACCGTTTCCTCAACGTCCTTCGACGTTTCGTGCATTCGATATTCGCTCGCGTCGCCGTTCACCTCGGCACCGTTCAACGAGTCGCAGCTGATGTTGCTCTCATTGTCGTCGCTGTCGACTTCGGCGCCGCTGCTGGTCAGGCTACCAGTCCGGTTGTGCGTGCTGTTGGACAGTATCACCGTGCTGGAGTTCTTCTTCTTTGGCAGTGGCGGCGGCGTTCCGTCGAGATCGCTGCAAGTGCCGCTGTCCAAAGTGTCGCTGGGCGAGCATTGTCCGCTTGACATCACCATGCTGCTCAACGGGCTCTGATGATAAGAGTTGTAGTAGAAACAGGCGCTCGAACGGCCGCCACCGAGGGTGGAGGAGTTCAGGGTTTCCGCGGTACCGCGATGCACCATGTCTCTGTTGTCGCTCCTGTCGTTGTCCTCTTGGCCACGCTTGTCGCTGTCGTTGCTGTCGTTGCTGTTGTTGTTGTTGTTGTTGTTGTTGCGCTCCTGATTGTCGGAATCGGTCGGCGGATCGCCGCTGAAGACACTGATCCTCACACAGCCCTCACCGACACCGGCACTCGCGCAGCGTCGCTCGTTCACCAAGTTTGTCGCACTCACCACCACCGCACCGTCCGAACGTTCGCGCGCGGTACTGTTTTCGATCTCGCGATTCCGGTCGTTCTCGTCCAGGGTCAACCGTACCGTCGATATCACCCTACTGTTCTTGTCGCCATCCGGATTGATCTTGATCTTGACTATGTGCGCGGCCTGCTGCTGATGATGCGCGGGATGCTGCGATTGCTGCCACCGTTGTTGCTGCCGCGACTCGACGACGTTGCTCCGCTCCTCGCAGCCGCCGTTCGCCGATTGCACTTCCGGGATTCTTCTCCCGCAGGTTGTCACGGAATCGGCGGTAGGAGCGCTAACTCCGACAAATACCGTTGCTCCGGGCCCGGTGGCGAGAGGCGGCGTGACGGAAGGGGAAACGGTCCGGATTGACACAGTCTGCCGTGCGGCCTGGCTCGCATCCCGAACCTGTGTCTTCGCAGGTAGTGGCGGCGGCACGGTCATCGTGACGGTCTCATCCATACGTGCATACAAAGTCATCGGTGGCTCACTCGATAAGCTTCACCTTGACGGTGGAATTTGGAAAGTCAAGGATTAAGTTGAAGCCCCTCTCTTCACGGGTTTCTCTTTCTCTTTCCTTTCGCGGCCTCCTCCTCATTACGAGGTCGAATCGTATTAATGATAACGCTTATACTGTTCTCTCGAGGGTACGATAAATTTACACGTTATTGATCCAATAGTCGTTAAAGAACTTTAATCGCGCGGATGGGACCTGCGACCTGTTTCCCGAAATGGCCGCGTGCGTTTTAAACGGTGCATCTATCGTGAGTTACAGTGATATTAATTCACCATCAAACGCAACGTAGACCGTTCGTCCTGAAACAACTGGCAATTCGGTACAATATAACACTCGATCAAAGTCGAGTGCCGTTGGAACGGACCGCGCTTTTCATCGACATGTTCGCGAGCACGTTCGCTCACTCGTGCTCATAGGGTATACATTGAAGCATTGAACTAATATTATTTCTTCGATATTGCCAATTTAAACAGTTAACTAGAAAAATTAATATATACCTATAACCGACTCTCTTCGAATAAAAAAAATATCGCAGACTTCACATGGCATAATTAAATCATATAGAATTAATTTAGCAAATTTTAATTGGTGCTACTACGTGTCGGTGAGGTTTCCACGATTTTCAGGCTTTCGGCAAAATTAAAATAATTTTTTATTCGATCGCAGTAGATCACGTTGCACTGCAATTACTACGCAAAAAAATATATTTTTTATTCGTTAATTAATGGCTGAGATTCACAACTATGACTGCGCGTAACTCCGTGCACAGGCAAGCACCGATCACTCCGCGAAATTGGCCAAATTCCATCAATCGACTGTGACTCGTCGATCGCGTTCTATAGGTCCATCGCGCGCAAGGACGATCGAGACGGGAGAGCCTGACGAATTGCGCCGCGCGCCGCTCGAATCAGGTCGATCGGCCGAGCAACATGAGGCCCCGCGGCTCCGTTCGTCGAGAAAACGTTAGCACCTTGCGCACACCTGTGGCCATGCGAGATCGCCGGACTACCTGCCGCGCGCGTGAAAGAGAGAGAGACCGATGGAACGTACGGGACCGGCACACGCAAAAAGAGAAAGAGAAAATCGTCCGTGAGATGAAGAGGAGAGGGAGACCGGATCGCGACCGGGACCGTGGAGAAGAAGATATTAGCACCACTTACAGACCGCATATGTGTATCAAGAGCGGCGCATAGTAAAACTCGATTGCACTCGACTCAAAACGTTAAAGCCGATGACGAGCGACAACGATCAACGACGGGCGATCGTTCACAGCACGGAACGTCAGTAACTGTACTGAGTGCCGCTGACACTCACTCATGCAGTTTCGCGGTCCGGGTGGGGACTGAAGTCGGGCCCCGGGATCATGGGCACAGCGAAAGCCGGGGAGTGGGAAAACCGTCTACGAAGGTGTGCGGAGCCGGTAAGGAAGGGGAGGGGGAGAGAAAGGCGAGAACCGTGGAAGGACGAGAACGTCGAGAACGGGTTCTCGTCGAGTCGGCCCGTAGTCGCCAGACAGGTACCTGCCTGGAGTGCCTGGTCTAAGTGGTGGTCGTGGCGTCCTCTACCGAGCCACCCGCCGGATCGACCATCCGGTTCCTTATTTTAAATACCTGACTCTTTACCGTTCACCGCCTTTCACGTGGAAACAAGCCGTTTCGCGGCGCGTAGGTGTGCGTGCGCGCACGATCGTCGGTGTGCACCTGCCGAAATTTCACCGCCGTCACCCGCCGATGTTGCAGAAATGCGCCTCCTCTCCTCTCCCGGCGTCTTCGCCGGACCGTTTTCGCCGTAACCCGCGCACGCCTGTACCCTGTAGTGAATGGCCGTGTGAATGGAAAGTGCGGTCGCCCGCCGTCCACGCTTAAATATCTACCAAACATCTCTTCACGAATAATCGATAATTTAACAATGTTGCAATATTCATTGTGCGTAGACACCGATGGTAAATCGGCGATGGTTGTGAATAAAAAAAAATATTGAAAGCTTGGTCGATTTTACGATAACATTTAATGTTGCCGACTACTTGAACTGTAGCCAATAGTCCTCTCATTTCTTTATCATTTAGCATAAATACTTCTAGTCTTGCTGGTCTAATATTTTATCTTCTAAGAATTTCCGTTGTACATACATATCGCACCCCGAGAGGAATACTATCACAACTCAAAAAAATTTCGATTTTGAATTAAACTCATAAAAAGTATGTCTAAAGGTGTTCCCCATATGCTATAATAGTGTTACAAGTTTATATGCAAAATTCGGGAGTAGAGAGAGAAGTGTCGTTATTCTTTTAAACCAATTAAGTTACGATCGCTGGATGAATAGTGTCATAAGTAAATTAACAAGTAAATAAGTTTCATTATAATAAAATGTTGTAATTGCATTAGTTATCTCACAATTTAAAAAAATTGAATTAAATTTGTTTTTCTCTCCTTTGAAAATTGAGAATTTTTGAGTTGTGACAGTATTCTTCTCGGGGTGCGATATGTAAAATTTCTTACATCTGTATAGATTTATACATATATCTATATAACGCAGGTAAGTTTTAATAGATGCTTTGAGAGAGAAGTTAGAGAAAATTATTTCCATGACACGGAGGTAGCTAAAGAAAGTTAAGAAAATCGCACGCAAATTAAGGACATCTCAGAACGTCATATCATTTGATGATAATAACGGTGCATTCTGCCTACTCATTAGATCATGCTCGTCACGCACTAAAACTGATCACATTGTGCAATGATTAGACATCGGATTTTTTATATGCAGATTAGTGGAAAGAAGCAATTAATAACTAAGATTATGTTATTTATAATATCCAACCATCTTTATACTGCAACATATGTTAGGTACAAATATGTTGAACATTATAATTAACGTAATCTTAGTTATTAATTGCTCCTTTCCATCTCAATCTGCATATAAAATATTCGATGTCTAGTTATAATTATTCATTTATTAGTTAATATTAAGATACAGCTGTATGTATTAGCTTTAAAAATTCAATTTTTTTATCACGCTTGTGATCAAATGCTAATAAAAGCAACAATTTCAAGAACGCAATAGTTATGATCATAATTTACTAGAAACTAAGTAATTTTATAGGAATATAAATGGAATCATTTACAAAGATATCTTATTAATACTACACTTTTTAAATTTTATATAAGATATTGCATAATAAAGAAATACGCATCGCTAACGCCTCTAAGACCAAATAGAATGTATTGTATAATCCATTAGATCGACCTTGCGACGTGGCTTAAAGGGGACTAGAACAAGTTCCGTTACACCTTCTACCTGCGAGTATAGCGTGGGCTATCCATCTGGTTATTCTTGTTCATTTTTTTTCCTAACTAAGAGGGCAGGACATTTCGCGTCTGTGACCTCCACGCTGGAAGCGGTTATCGATGACCCGTCGGGTGACGTGGGTCGCGCGAAACGGGAAAGGAAATTTTACCGCCGTAATGTCGCCAAATAAATAACGATTATATTTGATTGCCTTGTACACTCATGATTGCGGAACAGCCGGTCGAGCTCGAAGACGAAGTGTCGACGCTCGATTTTACACTTCGCTTGAAAACGATCGTGGGGAACATCGATGTTCCGATACAATTAACTCTTTATAAACTTTTTTACATATAATTAAACATATGGTAAACGGTCATAAAAGTGTCTTGAACAAAATACATTCATTGCTAAAACGTTCATTATTAGCTACCTTTTCTTGAATAAATATACGAATTTTATTACTTCGTGGTACATTTAGCTTAATCCTCAAACTGATTTCTCGAAATTATTGCTCCGAAACTATAAAATTCATTGCCAATGATAATTTACGATGTCAGCTCCCTTTCTCTGGACAGGAACCACACGTTCATAGGCTCGGATTTTCCTTTCATGGAGACAGGACCTCTGTACTCCAAAAGAAACTGCGGGTCTTGATTTTCGGGCATACAGAGATACCTGCAACAAATTGTATAAGCTTTCGTGAAAATCTTGACGCTAATATAATAGCCATTTTTGAAAGAAAAAAAGTATTGGGTGTACAACTTAGTTCGGTCCGTTTTCAAAAGATGACTGTAGCAGTAAGTGGTAGTCGAAATAAATAGATCGTAGACGTCATACAATAAGCTTAGGCATTTGTAAACATAACGCCATCGAAATATTAGTCGATTTGTATCTGCATCATAAAGTTATTCTCGATTGAAAATGCAGCTTACGAGCCAAATTCTCGTCATTCGCGGGAGCAGGTTTTAATTTTCTGCTTCAATATGAAGAAATCCGTGGCTGAGGCTCATCGAATGCTCTCAAATACGTATGGTGAGGCCGCAATTAGTGAAAGAACGTGCCGAGAGTGGTTTCAACGCTTCAAGAACGATAATTTTGACGTCGAAGACCGGCATGGATCAAGACTCGTGTCAAACGCAAGAAGAATTGGCAGGATTATTGGGAGTGACTCAACAAGCCATTTCAACAACAATAGACACGATTAAGTGATTTTGCAGCATGACAATGCTCGACCCCATGTCGCAAAGCCCGTCAAAACATATTGGAAACGTTGAAATGGGAAGTCCTACCCCACTCGCTGTATTCACCAGACATTGCTCCCTCTGATTACCATTTATTTCGATCAATGGCGCACGGCCTGTCTGAGCAGCACTTCACATCATATGAAGATATCAAAAATTGGGTCGATTTGTGGAAGCCTCAAAGGATGAAGCGTTCTTCCGACGCGGTATCCATATACTGCCAGAAAGATGGGAAAAAGTAGTGGCTAACAATAGACAATACTTTGAATAAAACCGTACGTACCGTTCTTTCACAATAAATGCGTTTTTCAAGCAAAAAAACGGACCGAATTAAGTTGTACACCCAATAATATGCGAGAAATATGTCATCACTCCTTGTGTTTTTTACAAAATATTTGTTATATTTAAATAAATCTCGACTCCCCTCTCTTGTACATATATAAAGTATGAGAAGCCTGCAGCAGCCTTTTCTAACATGGATGTAGCTCTCAGGAAGGGTGCATTGAAGAAGCCTTCAAAATGCGTGTTTTACGTCTAATCGAATTAGGCCTGTCGTGCACTGGCTTGTTTCTTCTGCTGATAATCATTAAAACGTGAACGTTTGCGACGACCGTTACGCGATATTTACCCGTCATTGAAATTACGTGCACCGTCGAATTATCTAGACATTGCGTTGCTTTTTAATTAAAGTCACTCGCATACCATGGAGGTATTGATAGATTGTTATTTCGACAGGCTATTCTCGGAAATGGAACGCAGTTGCTTAGCCTCGCGATACAAACGTCGCGAGTTGGTCAATTATTTTACGGATGTGATAAACAGTTGTGCAGAAGGTAACGAGATTTATGATATCCGCGTTCACATATTATGCGCATATTTACGCGTGACTAGCGTAAAGTGACAAATGGACCACCGCCGCGCCGTCGGGAATCGATAACCATTAGTATGACAACGTTATTTTATTATCCGTGTATCTCCGACAGAAAATTCCTAAATTTCCCTGTAGACGATACGCTCTTCCACGATATTAACGACGCGCATAGTTTTAATCCGCTAAATTCTTATCTGTCCTCGCGGCGCTATACGAGAATGCCTGAAACACGCCTGAAAGATATCGCCGCCCATTATGATCTTACCGTTACATTAAACCGTGCCTAATCCTTTCTATTTGTCTTCGTTGTTTCGCCAATGCCGTTGCAGTAACGGTGAAAAATACCACGCGCCTATAATACAAACGCATCACCACGAATTCCAGAATAATTTGCATCTCCGTCTCGCGCCCGCGTTCCACGCGGAGAAATTCCATGACTTTTTTCACTCGCCCGTTTTATAACCGATGGGACTATGATTCACGCCCGATGCTTGGTGCTTCCAGCGGAAAATCTCGACAAACAGGATGTGTGCGAGAGGATCGTCTTTTCGGCTCTGCGTTATCACAATATCACGATGATGGAGAACGGGTCGATCTGTCTGCTCGGCAAGTTCCACAACGTTCTGTACGTAGCGGCAAAACTCTGCTACGACTGGAATATCGACAACAACGTGATCGTCAGCCGACTGCTAAACGACATATTCTACTGCGAGAAGACGTTCGAGCGATTGTTGGTCGGGGCGATTTTCGGTACGCGCGTAACGCATTTTCTGTCCGGCTGGAAGTGCGACTTTGACGATCGCGAGGAAAACATCCGGGCACTGGTGTACTTCTTGGATCACGCGATTAGCGGCCGGCTCGAGTACCGTTGCGAGTCCTCGCCGATAAAGAGACGTTTCATCGACGTGCCCATGGAGTCGTACGGACAGGTTCTGCCTCTGAGGGTCGCGATCCAACACGGCGCGCCGGACATCCTGTTGATTATGCTGCGCTACGGCGCGTCGGTCGAGTCCGACAACCTGGCCCCGTCGCCGATGGAGATCATTCTAACGAAACTCAGCGAGTTCGAGGCACATCCCGGCGAGGAGGAAGTGGTTTACCCGGAGCACTTGCTGACATGTCTGAAATTGCTACTGCGAACCGTCACCTCCGCCTGTGTCAGAACTCCCGATCACATCGCCGCTCACAGCGGGATCTTCAGCGTACCTTTGTACGAGCAATATCCCAATCTAACGAATCGAAATCTAGTACCTCCGGAACGTAGCGGAATTCGTCCGGCGGAACTCCGGCATCTGTGCCGTTGCCGAATCCGCGAGACCCTCCATAGCAATTGGGCGCTACCTCATGGAATCAAGAAACTGCAGATTCCAGAGTCTCTGAGAAGTTATCTGGATCTGCTGCAGGATTGATGGAAAATCTCGTTCGCAGTGGTCATAAAACGATCGGCATCGACCGTTTCTTTTTGTCCCGGTAGTGAATTTCAGAAGTATTTTATCATACATTCATATGTAGGTATGTTTTAGAAATTCACTGTGATTCGATAAAATGCGCTTTCTACCGGATTCGGCTGCAGAATTCAGCAAATGCGCGCGGCGAAGTCTTTTAAAGTCGCCGTATAAGTTCGAATCTTCGATATTGAAGTTCGGCGAAATATATAGAGAAAGTGAAGCGAAACTATGACGGAGACTTTGATAGATGTGAATCCTATATCTAAATGTATGTCGGACTTTAAGCGGAATTTTTGATGTACGAGAGCGAAATCGCGCGAGACATTCAAGTAGGTCTAAGGTCTAAGGTTTAAGAAAAATTCAGGTTAAAAGATCGGGTGATAGTGCCTTATAATAGCACTGTGTTAATGAATCTTGGGAATTAGAGAGATACTTTGTCAGGGACACGAGTACACTCGTGAGTGCGAGTATCAGAAACATTCAAGAATAACGGAAAGTATGTCGTGAGACAACGTAATATGTACACGTTCGGGAAACCGAAGTTGCGATCCATTAGCAACTTTCTTTAATCTGAGAAGAACCGAATGAAAGAGAGAGTACGGTAGAAACATTTGTATATAAAACATAATTATAAAAATAAGAAACCGAATTTTGAATATATTTTATCGTATAAAATAATTTGTACATACATATTTAAATATTAGCAATATTTTAAGTAAGTTACCTGTAAGCGTCTTCCGAAACATTGATTTTTCCTGGTTGGCCGGTGGTCTCCGTTCGACTCGTAAGATTCACAGTATTTCCGAATAAACAGTAACGAGGCATACGATGGCCGATTACACCGGTAACAACTTCTCCACTGTGTATACCAATTGTAATTTTCTGTAAGATAATAGTTAATCAACATAGTATTACTTTTAAGAGGTATAAAAAAGGAATACGTTTTTCTCTTTTTCCCGTGACACATATATTTTATAAGCACGTTTTGTTATAAAAAAGTATTAATTATTTAAATCATAAAAAGATTGGACACTTTTAATACAAGTGTAAAATATCTTGTAATGATTGTCTTCTTTTCTCTATATCACGTGTCTGCAGCACTGAAGTTTAAATTCATTAAAATTGCACCAATCCTTTTTCTCTTGAAAATTTAATCGCGAATTGCACGGAGTAAATTCCAACTGTGATCCGTTGTTAAATATTTAAGTAACGTGAGAATTCTATGGCACTCGACAAGAAAGAAGTTAGTTCTCTTTGCAAAAAGGTACAAAAATAGTAGTGAGATATGCCATCTGTCCCTTGAGAAATTGTAGACGGTTCGCGCACACGATATATATATATATATATATATATATATATATATATATATATATACACATACATCTAACTATATAAAGGTACGAAGAAGATTTCAACTTTCTACAAAAGTCGACGGATGGACTGTCTCGATAACTCCTTTAACAGCGATTCTTTCGATGTAGCCGTTAGAGCGTGATGTGCAACGTTTAACGTCCAATCTTAAATTGACTTATACTGTCAACTCTTCTCAGATCAAAGCGTTTCGCTCCATGGTCATGTAACAAAGTACAGCCAGCTGAGTGCGGACAGCTTGTACGTACCACGGGTTCCCCATCGATCTGCACTTCATCCGCCGCGAGATCCATCATGTCCAACGCTAGACGAGCGATGCATCGTGCATGACAACGACAGGGTTCCGGCAATCCACTCACCGCCATATATTTATCACCCACGGTCTCCACCTAGATCGAAAAGCAGAATTAATAATGGAAACCTGAGATATATCCGAGAGAGGTGTTATCGATACCGCGTATTTATTTCCTCTTTTTAAAGTGTTTTATTATAAAGATTCATAAATATCTTTTATGTATAAAAAATTATGTACGATAATTTATTGTATCTAGCAGTCTGTTTTCAAGCTACATACTTAATAGCAAAAATAAAATTTATCGCAGATATTTACCTTATAAACGTTAGGATTCTTTTTCGGGTCAGTCAACACGTCGAAAGCCGTGTACAGCTCGTTGAGCATGTTAACGATCTTCATAGCGCCGTTAGAATCTGTGTGAGCGGCGCAATAAGCCCCGAAACCGACTATCCCGGAGAACAGAAGAGTAACGCAATCATACTTTTTCGCCGGTACTGGTCGTGAATGCCTGAGCTCGTTCGCCACCGAAATAGGAAGCACCGAGTAAAGCAACCTACAGTGAATACAGATGATCTTTTATTCAACGTCGCGCGTCGCGCAACTTCCCGTCGCGCACGCTAGTTTTGCCTAATCGGATTAACATTCGCGAACAGTTCTCGGAGAAATTTCCGCAAGTCGGCGCCGACGGGAGAAATTAAATTTGGATAGTTTCGACGAGGGAGTCTCAATTGCGGGAAATCTCAGGAATGATTTCTGCTCGTCTCCGAACGCAAGCGGAAGTCGAGAGTCCCTCCCGTCTCGCGGTATCGCGTCCCGTTATAAATCCATTTCCGTTAATTTCCATCGGAAGGTATTCCCGAAGCGCGCTCCGCAGCGCGGAAAAGAAGTCGCAGATCTCGCGTATAATCGTGTTATCTAACTGATAAACGACGAACAAGCCCGGCGGCAAGGATTCGCCGGATGACGGGGAAACGCCGTGGGCGGAAATCCCCTACCTGTCGGTCTTCTGCTTCTCCCCGTCGAGTTCGCGATACGTCTGCTGCAGCTTATCGGTGAGCAATTCCAAGTTGCGCGTCAGTTTGTAATCCGCCTCAAATTGTTCCGACATCAGGACCAGATCTCGAGTGGCGTCGTGAAGAGGGACGTCGCTCAAGTACAGACCCCGCCTGGAGCCGAAAGAATAACACGGGGGCGATAATGCGATATCGCGACGGCGCGGCGGCGGCGGAGATGTTCGTCACGCGCGGTAGCGAAAAACCACTCCTCTCGCCGTATCAAGTGGTACGTCACGTATATAAAACTTTTAGTAATGTCAACACAAAACTTTTACCAATTATGCTTAACACGGACGAACAAAAGATTCCGAAGTTGACCGAGGGAAACGAGATTATCGAGACGCATTCCGCAAAAGCGGGAAGAAGAAGTTTAAGTCTTATATTGCTACAACGAGGTTGCGCAGAGAAGTTTATGCTAATAAACTATACTTTTTTATCCTTATCTTCCTGTGTTATACATAGTTACCTTATTTATTGCGCAATAAAAGAACGATAAATAGATTATATAATGATGATTAATAATGATAAAAGAATCTTACGTAAATCTTACCTAGTTAAATCGTCCAGGTTCATAACACTTGGATAACATAGAAAGATAACCACATCGGTCTCACGTATATACAACATTTGACCCTGGAATAGTTAAAAATTAAAAACTTTGAGGAGTTCTCTATTGATTCCATCTCATTCTTGATTCATTTTTATAAATTACTGACCTTTAAACGTAAGTATGAATATTCCTCGGCAGCGGCAACCCGCATAACTCCCTTTTTCGTTCTCAATACATATACTGTATTAATATGAGACAATATATTCTCAAATGTTAATTCCAGATGCGGTCTGACCTATGGAGATCCGAAATGACAGTTAATTAACCCAATTGCATGTAATAATTTATTAAATTGATTTACATAATATATATCAAAATCTATTGGATATTGCGGTTGTTTTAAACAAAATTACGTGACGCAATATTCGCAGTAATGGCACCACTCAATGTGCCTACGATTTTTTAAATTGCGGGATTATAATGGTAAGCTAATTGACAACATTACATTTTGTACGCATGAACAATAACGCAAATTATGTTAAATGGTTAGCTCGGTCAACACGCTCTGTGTCCATCACAATAAGCTGATGCATTTGATATACATTCACATGCTTATGGGCATGCATGTAACGGCAGGCGCAATGCGTTATGCATTAATGCAATTCCTTTGACAAGGAACAATTAGGCAGGTTTATTGAAAATTAGTAATCGATATCGGGCGCAGACAATACTTCGCGCAGTGCTGAAATGCTGAAGCAATATTATCGAATAAATTTTCTCTTATTCATAATCCGTAATATCGTAAATTTTTAAGCTGTAACACTTAAGAGCACGTCTTTAAATGGATCTACGATTAATGATTAATTAGTCTACAAGATGCAAAATAAAAAAAAATATGTGTCACGTACAAAATACATCCAAGTACAAAATCATGAATTTACGACGAAGCGAACAAGAGAAAAATGTTATAGATTTTAACGAACACATTGTAGTTTGATGCTCGTCAACTCACAGTTAAGAGAATGTCGCTTAGTTTGCAATGACCGCTGGAAACGTCCGGTATAACACGTGTTATGGTACATCCAGTTTGAACGATTGTAAGGTCCCGATTGAACATTAGGTGGAACGGAAAAACTCGACAGAACGTCGTTGGGCTGACCTTTGGCTCTACGGCAATTCGTTAAATATATTTATTATTTCTTTTTTATCATAAGATATATCTTCACAGTTTTTTTTTTACATGAAATATTTCGTGATTTGTGATTTTACTATCAAATGATTTTTTCATACTGATATTTTTTATTGGAAACGAACAGTGATAAACCACTCACCAACAGACAATGTTTCCAGTTCAGCGATCATAGGGTTTGATACGACTCCTGGCCCTGATGTGTCAGTTATGAGAAATTGCACATGATCGCATTCGCTTTTGGTCTTCACTATTTGCATGTCAACGTCCGTGCCGTGCAGTTTTTTTGCGACGGTCTATTTCAAAAATAAATTGAAATGTCTCCCATCACTTCCATCCAATTCGTTAAGACATTCCCGTTAAATAAAATCATCGCTGCGCTCTTTCTCGTGAAACTTTTCGGAGCCAAGAGTTTTTACAGCGTTCAGCGTTGAATATATTTTCAGAAATAATATTCAAGAATAATTAAATTTCGTTCCGCGAGATTTCGATCTCTCGAGTCTTGCATAACGAATCGCATTTTTACAGCAGTAAATAGAATACCTTAACAATTCCAATAACGATGTATTCCAAACCAGGTCGATCTGAATAATAATGTAAAATAAGCGCTCCATCCTCGGGTCTCTCAGTACATCTAAATGACGGTGCCCTCATGCCCGGATATAACGTACCCAAATGATCGTGAAGCGCGTCCAAATTCTGCAACGTGACACCGACGTATAATACGTCTATAACCGATATGTGCGCACATGTATTTTGTTTCCAATATCGAATATGAATTTAAAATGTATATATTTCCGATAAAAATATTCTCGCGATGCTACAACAATAATATGATCCGTGTAAGTAATATTTGAACAGATTTCCGTTTTTATTAAATACAAGGCGATAAATATTATACAGTTAACGTATTAAAATGAACAAAAAATTAAAGAGTGGGTAATATAAAATGTAAATGTACAACAGCTGATATTAAAGTTTGGAGCACTTTTATGCAACATGATAATTCTCAGTATTGTACTGCAACGTGTAAACGAAATAATGTGAATAAATTTCTGCAGGAAGTAGAAAAACCATGCTATATTTAATCGCGCTGTTCTCTCTGTTACACGGGATAAATAATTAAGAGAAATTGAATATATGTTAATAAAATTCAGCGCATCGCTGTTCAGCAATATAAATCGAAATTTTACTC